TGGATTACAAAACGTACTACGACCATCCCCGATTCCTAGACTCTGAGTGATTTGATGGAAAATAATTCAACCTCGTTCCCATATTCCCACTTCCTGTCTGGAGACGGGAAGGATAGAGAGCCTGGGAACGAGCAAGGTATTTTTCTATCGTTCTAGTGTTAAAACGCAAATTTGGTAAGACTTCTGACTTGCTCCCGGTCGTCTCTCAGTCTCAGAAATGTAAACGAGAGAAGCGCGGTCAAGGGGAGCACAAGGCATCCCTGGCGCTTTCTTCGGTCACGCTTCTCATGATCTAAGTGTCATTGAGAAGCGTGACCGAAGAGAGGCTCCGCGTGAGACTGGGGACGAGTCAGGTTAGGCTTGTTCTATATATGTGGCCCCCAATCTTACCCCATTTTACTTTAAGCGAGTTCGCCTTTTTGCCAGAATTGCCATTTTCGTTAAAATCGCCACTCTCCAAGGGGCCCCTTTTTGCTATTAAATTCGAATATTCGCCAAACTCATGGCAAATTTTTCGCCAGATTGGCCATTTTTGTCACCTTCGTCACTTTACGAGGAGAATTTCTTGAAATCTCATTTAAATTTTCGCCAACCCTCTGGCTATTTTTGCCAGATTCGCCATTTTCACCATTGCGAGTATTTTTGTACAAAATTATTTGTTGTGTAAAAAAAATAGAAACTAAAATCAAAATCGTGGTTAGACAAGAAATCTGGTAGATATTGCTGAAACTGGCCATTAAAACAAACGAACATTATAAAGAAGTGTTAAAGGTGGCCTTTAACGTAAATTAACACATGTACAATACGTGCTAAATTCTTAAATAAAGTGTTAAAAAGCTCGCCTTGATCAATATTGCATCTAAGAAAACCTGTTGTTGTTAGACAATTACCTAGCAGTACTTAGAACTCTGACCATTGTTTTTAGTTTAGTACAACAAACATTTGCCAGTCAGATAAGTGTGTCTGATGACAAAAAATTCGTTTAGAGGAATAACGTTGCTGTTACCGAAACGCAACTCGTAAAGGAAAAAAAAAAAGAAACACGAGGCGTTAAGACAAGGTGAACAACGGCATGATTATAAGATACTAAACAGAGAACCAACACGAAGCTTTACACCGAGGGATTCAGAGCTGCAAAAAGTGACTACCATTCTCTCAATGACATCTCAGAGAGAGTGCAATGATGAAATTGTAGACACTGGTTCCATTGTCAAGAGACAAAGCTGCAGACGAAATCACCACAACGCCAAAGAATCGAGAAAGCACCATCATAAGAGATCGGCGCGCATTTCGATGACTGATTCCATGGCATTCGGTGATGAATCTTATCTGGTAATACAGGGAAAATCGTTCTTATGTGGAAAGGAAAGAGAACAAACCCCTTCGTCTTCATCTAATGAACCAAACGATGTAAGGCGGATTACACCGGGAATTCTTGATAGCCCCAAAAAATCGGCACAAGATACGCTGCCCGTTCTATCAAGGCCATCTTTCCGACCTTGGTCCAAAGAAAAGAGGGAAAGGAAGAAACTTGAAAACGACCCAGGAGAACGGCAGACGTCAAGGCGCGAAATTTTTAATTTGCAAGAAATGTTAGCCGAGGTTGAAGAAATCTGGCAAGCTAACATCGAAAGTCACACCGGTGAAGAGTTTATTCCTTTAGTAATGCAATGCAAAGTTTTTGATGCAACGCTACAGGGGATGGGGTTACCAAGCAACGAGGCCAGAGAAAACCCTCACAATTTTAAAGAGTCTGAT